CCCCCCATCAATATGACTGACAAGATTCCCTACTGACCCTGTCTGTCATTCCCACTCGCCTATTGCTATTTCCTAAACTATATCTACTTTCACAGTCATTATGTCTATGCGATTCTCATACTCTGTGCCTTTGGTGCTACAGCATAAATATCATACAGCTATAAAACATTTCCAAAATACCCACAAAATCCTTCATGCATCCCTATTTTCCATTCTGTGGAGAAGCAAACTTTTAGCTAAAATGATAATGAAATAAAACACTGCTAACAACCAGAGACCAAACAAAGATACATGGAATATAGTGACAACACATGTCCAGTGTCTGTCAATAATTCACATATCTTGTATTGTCAATCGTTACGGCGCAGGCAAGCATTAAAGTGATCTAACCTTTGACCCTTTACTGTGACTGAACTGTGCACAACCAGTTAGTGGCACATATACTCTCTCTAGTCATCCTAAAACCTAATTATTGTTTAGCAGTTAAGAAGCAATCGGTCGATGGCGCAGTGAATAGTGCATTGCCTTTCACCAAGACACTTCAATCTTGGTCTATAATAGTGATTAATTCAAACTTGTGTAACTCATTCACCCCTGAAATTTCATAATGAACTATTCCAATCTTTGAATTGGAAGAGTTCAAATGTGTTTTCAAGGGTGAATGAGTTAATTATTGTATTAGAATACATCAACTTTAATTGTTCTGATTTAGATGAGCATGATTTGGTGTTTGACCCCCTGCTATGACCTTGACCTGCGAGTATGGACCTTTAGGTTGTTTGTGATAACTAATAGCCATCTGAGAGTCATAACACATCCAAAATATTGCCCGGATGAGCATTACAATAATTTGACCTTGACCTCCCTGTTGTAAACATGACATTGGGAATATAGACAAGAGAATGGTTTGTGACACCGTCTAGTCGTGGTATGTTCCTGTACAAACTTTCACAAAAAATGTTCAGCAATTAAGTAGTTAGGCCCAGAACAAGAAAGTCAGACAGACAGACAAAGTGCAATCCTATAGTACCCCGATATCACAGGAGGAGCCATGCTCAGTGATCAGTGGCGAGGATTTTGTAGACAAGACAGAAATTATATCTCATAAAGTATATCTATGAAAAAGATTATCAACAGAAAGTAAGAAATTATGCTATCACAATCAAATCAAATCAAACTCTGAAATTAAAAAAAAAAAAAAAGAATATTTGAACTAAAAATTATTTAAGAAAATAAAGATCAACGATAAGAAAATAGATCAACTTGTTTATAAAACTCATTAATAGTCTTGAAACTTATCACACTTTATGAGTTTAAAAAACAACATTAGGTTCTATCTTAGCATGGTACACCGATGAAGGTGAAGCGAAAGCTGCAAATCATTCCAAAACTTAAAACATCTGGTTATTGTAAGTCATACGGAGAGACATTTTTTGGGAATATTACTAGGGGCCATATTAAATATCCATGGGCTGATTGAAGCATTGCTGGTGTTCACATGTTTGTCAAAACCATATTAGGGACACATCTATCAGTATAAACCAAACAGAACAGAATTCACAAATAAAACACTAACAGGAATACAAAATTAAATGTACAAAATATACAAAATTATAATTATAAACATACCACATGACAGTCACAGAACAGGTGCATAACAAAGCCATGGCAACGGAGTTCAAAGCACAATGGACATAAGCTCAGTCTGACGGCAAATTTTTAGTTTTAGTTTTCAGGTCCCGCCATACAGAGAAGCGATCAAAACGAAACAGTAGCAGGGAATCAAAAAGTGGTGCTGGGGTAAATTCTTGAGTATAAATAGAACTATGGTTGTTGGAATGTGCTAGATTTTTCCAGAGACAGTGGTGACAGCCGTACTGTACATTTACTACATAATCTAGGTAAAAATAAAGTTAAATGCAAAAACTTTGCAATGACAAAGACTATCATCACAGGGGGATAAGATGGATATACCAGAAGAAAATGTTAACTAAATATACATATGCTCTTGCTTCGATGTCAATGGAGCTAACGGAATATACATAACCAAAGAAATTGAGCAAAACACAAAGTCTAACCAAAAACAAGGAAGAGGAATATATAGGTCACAGTAACCTACTTTTGATATGCTGGTGAAGCACTCCACAAAATGTATCTACACATTAGGTTTGAGGACTTCTGGACTTTTAGAATTAATGTAATGGAGTTAAAGGCAAAACCTAACCCAGATGTCATCTATACTGAGGATTGAAGATGTAAACAGGTATGCCGGGGGCCCTCCACTATTTGCTGCAGGGGCACTAAAACCCTTTGTTTTATTCCTACATAGAACAGCTAACTATGGTAGACATTTTCAGCCAGTACAAATTAGTTGATATGTCCAAATTGTAACCATGCTTCTCAAATAAACCCCAGACTCTCAAAGATACCCCTACCCAGGGTTCCCACAGAGAAAACAGTACTGTAGAATGTTCCATCAGATTTAATGAGGAGGGTAAAGCCTGCCCTGAAGAAGGTATTTCAGTCCCTTCTGTTCATAACACTGAAGTGTACTATCAACATTTAAGCCTATGTTCAGTATTATATCAATATTACATACAGTATGTGGATCATAACTACCAAAATAGAGAGTCACGTCTGAGAGAAAACATTCTTTACCCACATTTGCCTCATTTCTACGGACCAAGCTCCCCTGTCTACACAGCACAGGTAAATTCGAACACACACATTTTACATTTACTACTGTTGGAAATACCAGACCCCTCCAACTAGTAGTTTTAACTGCTGTATGCTGAACCTGTGGGAACCCTGCTACAGACGAACAGTGACTAAAGTCCTGTGGGAACCCTGCTACAGACGAACAGTGACTTAAGTCCTGTGGGAACCCTGCTACAGACGAACAGTGACTAAAGTACATTAATGGTGTGTCAGAAGACGTGAGAGTAGGCAAACAAAGCATGCATAGTCCAGTTAGAAGGGTGTTTCCAAACTGTCTCGATGCAAACTAGGCAAAGGACAATGTTACCTATTTTGAAAGTTTCGATATGACTCGTGTGAGTGCTCTATTTTCTTCCTTTAATTTTGTGTTTTCAGCTCTAATATTGTCCATATGCTGGAAATCAAGATAATGTTATACATCAGTTTTCTTGCCAAAGAAAGTGCAAGAGAAATGCATCAAGGGAGCTAACTCTACTATGAAGTTCAAAAGACTGGTGCCAAGACTTTCTTTCTGCTACTCAATCATTTTTTTATCTATTGCTTTTTTCTTTTTGTTCGTTGATTTTATTTTACCATCAAAATAAATGAATAAGTATTTAACTGAATAAAAATAAATAAATAAATGAAATAAAATATTAAAAATGAAATTCAAAGCACCTTTCTTTATAAAGTACCTGAAAGCAAGATATCGGCAATCGATGATTTTACTTGTTAGTAAAAAAGCAAGATGTTATTCATTTGGACTATAATTTCATATATTTTATAAAGCCAACTGTATAAATTTTGGATGAAAATATAGAATATTATTTGATTTTTGTCAATATCAACCTGTTAATTTGCTATTGTTGTGAGTACCAGATAATGCTATGACCGTAGAGTAATTTAAAATTGCTGCTGTTTGCTGAGCCAGTGGGAGCCCTGCTATTGATGAACCAACAGTGACTATAATAACATTTAGTAGCCTTTTCACCCCTATTAACTTTAGTAGGCTCTACCGTGCACTGATATGGATGAGTCCATTATGGTCCACAGTGGTGAAAGGGTTGGCGGCACACAGGACATGGATAGTCCAGTTCAAGAGGTGTGTCTAAAGCACAGGACAATTATGTTACTCGTGTTGGAAGATTTGACATGGCTTTTTTGAAAACACTATAGTGACCTGATAATTTTGTTTTCAGCTCTTTTTTTGCTAGATGTCAAGATAAAATTTACATCAGTAGTGCAATGAGACTTGTATCAAGGGAGCTAACTCTTCTATGAAGTTACGAAAGACAGGTGCAATGAATGACCATTTTCAAATGAGAATGAGGATGTATTTTGTTAATCACTTCATGATTGTTTCTTCTTTCAAAAGAGAACAAATTAATGACAAATTCTTAAAAAAAATATCACAACACCTGTCTTTATACCAAAAAGCAAGGTAATAGCAACAAATCAATTATGTTACCTGTTAGTAAAAAAGCAATAATTTATCATTAATTAAGAGAAACTTATCAACAGTAGTCAAGATAATGATTAAGTATTTACAAAGACAATATTTTTCTTAACAAATATACATCAATCGATCTTGTTCAAATTTATGAAAAGCATTGCTAAGGAAGAATAAGCAAGATCATAATATATGTTGAAACTTTGAGCCTCCAGATAAACTAGAAATGTCCCTATATCAGTACTGAGAACCAAAATACGTCTCAATGGGCCAGAGCCAACAATCTATCACAGTTTCACTTTACCTTCAATTCCTCTTCCATCTCGGAAAGTTTTCGTTCTAATGCCCGTTTTTCCTGGAAAATATGAAAATGTTATGCTATTTGATATTAATGTAATTAACCTTTGTTTAAATCTATACACACTGTTAAACAGCTTTACCTTGAACTCTTGTCATGAGTTAATGCTTATAACAAAGACATAACTATACATGTCTCCTGGTGAGATATTCCCTCTTTGCGTATTGCAGAGTTATCTTCTCTTGTGAGCAGGTATTGATTGTTACGTCATTAGTTTGTATGAGAAAATTACGTCGTTTCTCAAAAATTGATGACATTACTCTCACAAACTAATGACGTAACAATCAATACCTGCTCACAAGTGCAGATAACTCTGCAATACAAAAAGACGGAATTGCATGCTTCATAAACTAACTGTGCCTACTATGAACTATTGTTTAACATCTGTCGGGGTTCATTATGTGTTTTACTGTATCCTGTATAGAAATCAGCACATCTTAAAAATACAAAACCACCAATGTAAACAATGTATAAGTACTCTGTATTGAAATCAATATGTACAAGCTTTATCAAAATCAGTAAAGGAAATAAACCTATACACCATGATAATGAAAACTTCCTCATTTGGAATAAAGCTCTTCAACAGTAGTCATGAAACTGTTCATATGCAGGTTTCTAATATTCAAACTTATACACACAAGGACTTTAAAACCTTTGAATTGAAAGAACGTGTGTGTAATATAAACATTTTCTAAAGTCTGCAATAAATGAACATGGGTTGTTTCTTTGACTCTATAGGAAGGACTTACCCGTTTATCATTTGAATCTGCAGCCTTATTTGCCTCTGTCCGTTTCACTAGACGATCGAGCTCTGCCTTAGCCTCTATTAACTCTTTCTTCGTCCTCTCCAGCTCTTTACGTAGTCGTTCCGTCGTGTACTTCTCATCCTCGTAAAGCTAGTGAAACAAAGCCAATCAACATGTCCTATTGTGAATGAATGGAAATACCACTACAGTAGTTATTTACAAAAGTGTTGGTAACGTTTAATTATGACTACACCAGAGATGTAAACCTTACCGCTGGTGTTGTTGGTGGTCAGAGATGATATAGGAATAACAATAAATGAAGATGCAGATTACATGTTATATATACAGTATTGTTTAGAGCGATCAGCTGATGGAAGAGACCAGATACGTTCAATCACAGATTGCATCAATCAACTCTCCATGTGTGTTACTGAATGGTGCTTGTTTTAAAACATCTGACGGATCCCGAATTGGAGAACTATATCTAGCATTAACTCATTCACCCCTGAAGTTTCATAATGAACTATTCCTACCTTTGATTTGGAAGAGTTCAAATGTGTCTTCAGGGGTGAAAGAGTTAAGGTAAGAAAGACTGATACAACTTCTTGTTTTAGGTCTGAATTATCTAATGATAAGTTTCTCATCCCGGATATTTCACAACTGTTAATAACATGCGTATCTGAAGATTAAACTAAATCATCTAAAGGGAAACAACTTGAGATAAAATGTATATTTTGTAACAGAAGTTCTGTTTTAGCGGCGACATACTTTTTTATAATTAGAGTCGAGGGAGGGTGTTGACTGGTAGTGGTCAGCGTAGGAAGACCGAGAAGAATACTTGTCACCCACATCTGACGTTGAACTATACTGTCCTCTGTGGCGGTAAGAACTCTGCAAAGATAAAATAAATACACCATTTATTAACAAACAAAAAAGTAATGAACCCTCAATAATCAATTAATGAATTTAAAATCAATTTACTAGATTTGTTACTAGGCTGACCTGTACAGTGTGTGTTATCCTGCTATGGTCCTCCGAGAAGAACCTGTGTAGAAATCGCCTCTCCCCTGTCACTTCCATATTACTGCTGTCACATTTACATTACTACAAAACTACTGACTCCTGTTTCTCTATATAAACCGCTGCAGTTTCAGAAACACATTTGTCACAACTTCACTTATTATAACTCTATTTTCCTGGGGGTTTTTTAACTAATGCTCCTCCATAGCAGTTTTGTAAACACAGTTATCACAACAACAATTTAGTGTTTAAAAAGAAACCGGAGGATATATGTTATGTTCAAATAAAATCCACACCAACTGTAACACCAGTAGCTTGTAAACAAGAGTTAACCTACTACAGTTTGTTTACAATATATCAAAACACCAGCACTAAAGCACAGAAAATCCCCACAAAACACTGTATGACAACACGATTTTTGACTTTTAACAATGGTTCTAAAACATTTAACAGTAGAGTGGAGCAGGTGCTCTACACTAGGTCAGCCACACTCATTATACAGGGATGTCCTTCCCAGGTTTTGTCGTCTCGCTTTACAAATTTGCAATAAAATACTAGATTTTCTTTTAGCTGAGCAGTCTTAATTTTAAAATGAAAACTTCTAACAAAGAGGCCATATTGATGATAAGTGTCATTTTACTGCCGGGGTAATTTATTTTTTAAAGTTTTTGAAATTTTAAAGAATTTATTCAAATTCAGTTTAAAAGCCTTGACAAAGTGGCTTATTGATGCGTGGTACAGGGTAGGCAATATAAGACCTACCTGTATCTTTGATCTGAGCACTGTTTATAGTAGGCTTCTTAATGGAACCCTTCTTAAGATGACCTTATTTAGTACAAGCCAAGGCTAAAAATTGTAAACCTACTATACAGTACTATTTGTTGTGTGTGGTACTAAACGGTACCACTTGTGGTATTAATATTGAAGCTGTGACAGGTTGACATTTGTGGTTAAATGTATTTGTATTATGTATGTGGTACAACAAGGTCCCTCCCATCTGTGGGTATCTACACAAAGCTTTTTGTACTAGAAGTTCATCTTTGTGGGTATTTGTTTTGAAGTTGTGTTAGTACAGGTTGACAATTGTGGTTTTTATACTGAAGCTGTGGTACTACATAGTACCATTTGTAGTATTAATACTGAAGCTGTGGTACTTATACTGAGGTTATGGTGCTTATACTGAGGTTGTGGTATCTATATACTGAGGTTGTGGTATCTATACTGAGGTTGTGGTATCTATACTGAGGTTGTGGTATTTATACTGAGGTTGTGGTACTTATACTGAGGTTGTGGTACTTATACTGAGTTTGTGGTATTTATACTGAGGTTGTAGTATTAATACTGAAGCTGTGGTACTTATACTGAGGTTATGGTACTTATACTGAGGTTGTGGTACTTATACTGAGGTTGTGATATTTATACTGAGGTTGTGGTACTTATACTGAGGTTGTGGTACTTATACTGAGTTTGTGGTATTTATACTGAGGTTGTAGTATTAATACTGAAGCTGTGGTACTTATACTGAGGTTATGGTACTTATACTGAGGTTGTGGTACTTATACTGAGGTTGTGATATTTATACTGAGGTTGTGGTACTTATACTGAGGTTGTGGTACTTATACTGAGTTTGTGGTATTTATACTGAGGTTGTAGTATTAATACTGAAGCTGTGGTACTTATACTGAGGTTATGGTACTTATACTGAGGTTGTGGTACTTATACTGAGGTTGTGATATTTATACTGAGGTTGTGGTACTTATACTGAGGTTGTGGTACTTATACTGAGTTTGTGGTATTTATACTGAGGTTGTAGTATTAATACTGAAGCTGTGGTACTTATACTGAGGTTATGGTACTTATACTGAGGTATGGTATTTATACTGAGGTTGTGGTATCTATACTGAGGTTATGATATCTATACTGAGGTTATGATATCTATACTGAGGTTATGGTACTTATACTGAGGTTATGGTACTTATACTGAGGTTGTGGTATCTATACTGAGGTTATGGTATCTATACTGAGGTTGTGGTATCTATACTGAGGTTATGGTATCTATACTGAGGTTGTGGTATCTATACTGAGGTTATGGTATCTATACTGAGGTTGTGGTATCTATACTGAGGTTATGGTATCTATACTGAGGTTGTGGTATCTATACTGAGGTTATGGTATCTATACTGAGGTTGTGGTATCTATACTGAGGTTATGGTATCTATACTGAGGTTGTGGTATCCATACTGAGGTATGGTATCTATACTGAGGTTATGGTATTTATACTGAGGTTGTGGTATTTATACTGAGGTTATGGTACTTATACTGAGGTTATGGTACTTATACTGAGGTTGTGGTATCTATACTGAGGTTATGGTATCTATACTGAGGTTGTGGTATCTATACTGAGGTTATGGTATCTATACTGAGGTTGTGGTATCTATACTGAGGTTATGGTATCTATACTGAGGTTGTGGTATCTATACTGAGGTTATGGTATCTATACTGAGGTTGTGGTATCTATACTGAGGTTATGGTATCTATACTGAGGTTGTGGTATCTATACTGAGGTTATGGTATCTATACTGAGGTTGTGGTATCTATACTGAGGTTATGGTATCTATACTGAGGTTGTGGTATCTATACTGAGGTTATGGTATCTATACTGAGGTTGTGGTATCTATACTGAGGTTATGGTATCTATACTGAGGTTGTGGTATCTATACTGAGGTTATGGTATCTATACTGAGGTTGTGGTATCTATACTGAGGTTATGGTATCTATACTGAGGTTGTGGTATCCATACTGAGGTATGGTATCTATACTGAGGTTATGGTATTTATACTGAGGTTGTGGTATCTATACTGAGGTTATGGTACTTATACTGAGGTTATGGTATTTATACTGAGGTTATGGTACTTATACTGAGGCTATGGTACTTATACTGAGGTTAGGGTATTTATACTAAGGTTATGGTATTTATACTGAGGTTATGGTACTTATACTGAGGTTATGGTATTTATACTGCGGTTATGGTATCCATACTGAGGTTATGGTATCTATACTGAGGTTATGGTATCCATACTGAGGTTATGGTATCTATACTGAGGTTATGGTATTTATACTGAGGTTATGGTATCTATACTGAGGTTATGGTACTTATACTGAGGTTATGGTATTTATACTGAGGTTATGATATCTATACTGAGGTTATGATATCTATACTGAGGTTATGGTACTTATACTGAGGTTATGGTACTTATACTGAGGTTATGGTATCTATACTGAGGTTATGATATCTATACTGAGGTTATGGTACTTATACTGAGGTTATGGTATCTATACTGAGGTTATGGTACTTATACTGAGGTTGTGGTACTTATACTGAGGTATGGTATCTATACTGAGGTTATGGTACTTATACTGAGGTTGTGGTATCTATACTGAGGTTATGGTACTTATACTGAGGTTGTGGTACTTATACTGAGGTTGTGGTACTTATACTGAGGTATGGTATCTATACTGAGGTATGGTATCTATACTGAGGTTATGGTACTTATACTGAGGTTATGGTATTTATACTGAGGTTATGATATCTATACTGAGGTTATGATATCTATACTGAGGTTATGGTACTTATACTGAGGTTATGGTACTTATACTGAGGTTATGGTACCACATGGTACCAATTAGAATAAGGACCAGGACAGCCACAGATCCATCAACAAACAGCTACTATTTAATGTAACACACTCACAACTGTGGAATGTACCGCAGACGAAAATAGCACCAGCACTGCAAAAACAGGGGCGAATTCACTGGGAGGCTAAGCTTTTTTCCCCAAGGGGGGATAAAAATATAAGCAGGCTGGCAAATGAATTGCTGGAAAGGGTTCAAAGACCTCTAGGTTAAAGTGTGTTACCGATTCAGACTGCTAGACCAATTAGACGTCACTTACAAAGAAAATATTCCATGATTTCTTCAATAATTTAATGGATCTGCTTGTAACCAATTAATAACTCTAAGAATACTTAAGTTCAAAAAGTTTTCAATTTTATCTGATTTTCAATTTTGACATTCCCACTTTCACATCTGGATGCATTCATAACATATATGACAGCTTAATCTTGTTTACTTTACATTTCAAAAACCAGACATTCTATATTTTCATTTCTTGTAATTTATAAACTTTAAAGAAATATTGGCTCCATCTATGTACAACAGATGTTCTTAAAAGATGACTATCACTCCCCGACATTAAACTTTTCAAATTCATCCATACTCAATTTACTATTTGATTCCTTATCGACAATAAAAAGCAATGATTCCATATTGACAAGAAAGTTAAACGAAGTGTGGAACAGGGATGGTTAAAATAGCACGGTGTCCACCACACCCAGTGCCAACAACATCGTTCAATCTAGTACTCTATAGATATAAACACGGGAGAAGGCTGATGAAGTATGAGTCATTTTTACATTGGAATCTTGGAGGGTAAGAGGCTTCTATAAATACAACAATGCTTTCCCACATGCAGGCTCCTTCACTCCTGGGAGAGGGAGGAGCAAGGTCACACGTGTAGGGACTAAGCTTCCAACACATCTTCTATTTCTGTGAAGCCTCACCCCAAAGTCGGCCAGTGCAAAAGATGAGTCAAAGTGGAGGCCACCAAAGCATCGAACAGTCTGCACTGGAGAGCCAATAATTAGTAGAGTATCTGTAATCGTCAATGTTTTCAACTCGGGATTTCAAACATTCTACACTTCCTTCAGCCAAACACCAGAAGTGATCCTGGTAAACCCTACATAGTTGGAATGTATACTAGATTGGAAGATGAATAAACAATACAGAGTGGGTCTACATCTTTATTTCTCATG